CTGGTGTCTTCTCACAGTTCTAACACTTATTAGCTATGTGACCTTGGAAAAAATACTTAGCCTTAAGTCTCAATTTCTACAATTATAAAATGGAAATACTAATATGACCCACCTGTAAAATTGAGATGCTGTTACTATCTACCTTATAAGGTAGATGCCTAAAGTAGGTGAATTTTTTTCAAAGCATATATTAATTCCAAGAAAGACAAAAAAAATTATGTTAAAGAAAACATAACCAATACCATTTGGCTTAGCAGTAAAAAAAAAATTACATAATCATGATAATTTAAGTATTACCTCTCGATTTAAACAAAAAATGTAATCGAACTATGTCAGGAGGCTATGGGGACCAGAAGTGGTAAGAGCGGAAAGTATCAGAGAGCTACTGCTAAAATTGATAAATTAGGGAAAAAAGAATGTAAGTATATTATTTAGAAAAAGAGAAGTAAACACCAGAAATATCCGAGTTGAAAGTTTCCAATTCTGGGGAAGCCATCCAGAGAGAGGTAGAAAGAAGGCATAGATGCTGCAGTTTTTAAATATTTGCTTTTTAATGCTGTTTTACTTAAACAATGTAGATACATTGCTTTGATAAAGATAAAATGTAAAAGATAACTCATACATAAGTACAATATGATATTTCTTTATATACTAGGGTTAATATAAAGCTTTTCAATTTACCAAAACTTGCTTTAAAAAAAAAATTGATGTAATACCTCCAACTATGCCACCAAAATGCCCATTTCTTAAAAGTGTACGATAATGACTTACTTTTTCCCTGGCACACTGTAAATCCTAAAAAGATATTTGCTGAATTGAGCTGAGGATGGTGGAAAAATATATAAATAAAGAAGTTCCTTTGTACAATAAAGGTTGCAGCAGGAAGGGGATGACATCTTCACCTGGGGTGAAGGCAGAGTTAAGGGAAGACCACTAAGGGATGGTCTAGCGTCCTGGAGTTCATAAAAAATCCATTAACACTCCAGACTCAAAGGGGCAAAGGGAAGGAGCAGTTACCAGATAGTGGAAAGAGCTGTAGCTGCAGAAGAGAGGTCCCCAACAGGAACTGTGGCCTTCCTGAAAGGGATACAGCCATTACCAACCCACAGTGCTGCAGGGAAGAAAGGAGGAAAGAATATTGCAACCTCGTGTTCCCAGATCTTCGTCCAGTTCCTTCCCGTGGCTAATCGAACAAAAAGCCAGCAAACAAGGGAGCCCAGGGAATGCCTGCAGTAGAAGTTAAGCCCTTGGTGCAGAGCCGTTTAGAAGAGAGAGGAGCTGGAAGCACAAATGAATACGCAGCACAAGCACTATACAGGGTTGTTGTTGTTGTTGTTTAATTTGTCTCCTTTTCATACTCAGCCTTCTAAAACAAGCCCCTCAAATTTTCATCTGTTTAAGAACTATTCATGGCAATTAGCTGGGCATAGTGGCGCGTGCCTGTAATCCCAGTTACTCAGGAGGCTGAGGCAGGAGAATTGCCTGAACCCAGGAGGCGGAGGTTGCGGTGAGCCGAGATCGCGCCATTGCACTCCAGCCTGGGTAACAAGAGTGAAACTCCGTCTCAAAAAAAAAAAAAAAAGAACTATTCATGGCATGATGATAGCAATACCCTGATGTTATGCATTTGTTAAAATTTACTAAGAACTTTCAAATATATTGTGTTTATGTGATCCTCAAAGCAGCCGTGTACAATAGATAGGGCAAAAGTTACCCTCATTTTATAGGTGAGGAACCTGAGATCTTAATGAAAGTTAGGAATCTGGCACAGAGTCACAAAGCTAGCAAGTGGCAGAGCCAAAACTAGTAGGAATGTTTCCTAATAACCCTGCTGAGGCTGTTCTCACCACTTCTCACCATATCATACTGTTGGACTATTTATTCACAGTAGGATTGCAAAATTGGTCCCTGCAAAAAAAAGTTGGGGAGGCATTAACTAGTTTTGTTCTAGGCACTGCACAGAGCATAGAAGTAGTCAACCAACAAGACACAAGGGGAAACAGAGAAAACTTGCCCATTCCATTCTCAGAAAACCACAAGCAATGCCAGAAATGGAAGTAATTGAGTTTTCAATCACTTTTTTACACATCACTGAAAAAGAAGGTGTTCAGTCGGATAAGACCAGTGTTCAAAGGAGAAATAAAAATTCAGGGAAATGTAAAAAATATTTAAAGAGTACACCTGTTATGTTTGGGGTTGCTGGGGTAAACAGAAGAAAATCGCAGTCCCTTCACAATCCCCATGACACAAAGAGACCAGGGCCCCAGAAATTGGGAGGGATGACTTCTCTGCTTCTCTTCTCATTTCCAGCCCTACCCCCACATACATACACATTCTTTGAGAGCCAAGAGAAGCAGCCAAGAGTGACTTCTCTGTACCAAACACAGGAGTACTGGGAAGTTCCGCAAAATAACCCATTTCTGAGAGTCTAATAAAGAACTCTGTACTTTCTGCAACCTACTGCAAAACACTGAGCTACTTCCACATGATGAAAGAAAGTAGGGAGTGACATTTTAATTGTTAACCTCCAAACACACCATATTTATTCCAAATCTAGCTCACTAATGAATAGACTATACTATCAGTTAAGGTTCTGCGGTTGCAAGTGGCAGAAACCAATTGGCTAATTTAAGAATTATCAGTGGGATACTGGAGTCTCAGCAAATCCATGGCAGAATAGAAAATAAGGTTTGGAGGCCATGACTAGCTAAGACAGACATGGTCTCATAGTACATACTGGCAGATCAGAATGAGGGAGAATCTTTTACCTAGAGAATCAAATTCAGAAAAAACAGCATTTACTTAGCCAAGCTTGGGTCATACACCTATCCATAGGCTGGGTGCAGGCCCCTGGATATAGTTCCACTAGCCTAATTACCTCAAAAAGAAATAAAGGTGCTGTTAGGAAGGAAAAACAGATACAGGACAGAAAAAAAAGTTGGGGGGAAGGGTTCCCTCTATACTTACCAAGGCTTTCCTTAAAAATTCTTGAAGAAGCTAACTAGCAGTCGATTGCTAATTTCTTAAGACTATTAGTTAGTTAATTGATGACAACCAAAGAAGGTACTTTTCCTGATTCCTAAAAAAATTCAGCCTAACAACGTTTCACTTCCAGAGGCCTCACTTCCTCTATTACCTGAAAGTTACCTTTTCACTTGATTCCCAAGACCAAATAGAATTTTCCTTTCTTTGGTAACAACGTGTTTATTTTAGAAATATTATCCTGAAACTTCTAAAAGGAATAGACTTCTAAAAATATATAATGAATAAAGCCATAAGGATGCTGCTGGGCTGATGATGATGATGATGATGATGATGATGATGATGCTATTAACAAAAGCAGCAGCAGCTTCCATCTACTGAGCACTTATCATTGGCCAGGACTTCTTCTAAGCCCTTGACACATCATACTTCATTTAATCGCCACAACTATATGAAGCCAAAGAGTATTATCCCCACTTCAAAGATCAGGAAACTGAGACTCTAAGAGGGTGAATAAGTTGTCCACAGTCCAATAGCTAGTAAAAGCCAAATCATAACGAAACCTGTGTCTGATTCCAAAGTACCAATTCAACAAAAGATCTTCATTGAGAGTAGAGAAAATGGACTGTTCCTGTGTGAAAACATCCCCCAAGAGGAATGGAAGCACCATAGCTGTGCCAAAAGATTACAAAGTTGTCAAGACGGCTACATCACCACTAACAATTATTTCTGAGCATTTATTTCTAAAAGCTATCAAGTATTTCTTTATTCCAAGGTGTGGCTCAACAGTTCAGAGACATATAGTTACACAGCTGAAAATAAGAATTATCTACTGCTTAAGATAGTATTTTTTTCACTGATGCTCAACCATTACAGCAAAATTCCAAGCCAACCAGTTTTCACGCACCAGAGTATAGTCACCCCAAAGCAAATCCTAAGAAAAGGGATTTTTTTTATAACTCGTATTTTGATTATCTAAAAGGGGTTTTCTCTGATACCCCTATAAAATTCTCCACCCTCAAAATAAACATTAAAAATTCAGCCCAGAAGTAAATTTGTCATGAAGTTAGGAAGAACTTAAAGCATAAGGTAAATCAAAACGGCTTTTCAACTTTAACTAAAGTGGTCACAGTTATGATTGCTGTAATAAAAACGACAGAAAAAACCCTAAAAGTGTCAAAAATGTAATTTATGATGAAAACAAATGTGAAATTATAGCATATTTCACCCTGGCCACCAAAGACTCTTGATGAAACTGCAGCCCTATAATTGCCCAGAATGAATTCTTTAAATTAAAATACTTCATGCAGAACAGAAATTAAACAATGAATCAAAGAACAATGCTGTACAGAGGTATGCTTATAAATATACCTAGCAAAGAGGAAACAATTACATTTTTCCATGTAAAAACCAACTTGATTGTAATGTTTCACAAGAGGCCAAGTAGGTACTTTTCCCATTGCTTCAAGCTTGGAAGTTCATTTCCTGTAATTCATTTAGGGCTCAGAGTGACTGGGTGGAATGAAATTAGCTACACCAAATTCAGCGGCTCTTTTCTTTCTACAGAACTAGCTCTTCCATGCAACTGCACAACTGACTTTTGCGATAAATTTCATCCAACCCAATTGAAATGCCACTCTGCATTTTATTTTAAATGCTTTATTTGGCCAGCGAGTTTTATTTAACTATTGGCCAGAAGTGGTACAAGTGCATTCTTTCTCCATCTAGCATTAATCTTAGTAAATTTAGCTCCACTGGAATGTCTTAACTGCTGAGAAGAAAGCAAAAGTCAGCAAGCACACAACTGCATTTGTCTACCCTCAACACATCATTTTATTTCCTCCTGCTCTCTGCTAACTATTGCTCAGCACTTTTGCCAAAGAGGGAGGACAAGCAGGTGGTTAAGGAAGTTGTCCTGTCAGCTATATCTTTAATCCAAGTGTTTAAATCTCTGAATAAAAGAAAAATCAATGTTGTAAAGGCAATGTTTGTCAAGGCCATGTAATAAATACACTTACCTTTACAGACTGTTCTCAATGGATTTCTCTTCTTTGCTGCGCTTCAAAGCTACAAAGAGACAAAAATGAAAGACAGAGTTGTCTGTGAGTAAAACACCAAACGTTTTTCTCTCCATGTCTCTAAATAGAATTTCTATAAGCCATGGTATGTGGTGCTAGCCAAATAAACCATTGATAAAACTTGGACCTCAAACCTCCCGCACAAGAGGCCAAAAAAAGACATTTAGAAACTAAAAATGGTTTACACATCTACCCAGCATTGAAGCACACAAATCCGGCCAAATCTACAGTCAAATCTTTTGGGGTGTGAACTCCTCAACAGAATAAGAACAGCTTATAAAGTAGAGATGAAAATCAAACTAAATGTGAGTGTGAGGCACTCAATCTGACTAAGCATTTTATTTTCTTATTTCTTCTCGTCTTCTTTCTTGCATGTTCTATTTCCACTTCTCTGAAAAAGTCTCACTTACCGGTGCCTATTCCATTAATATGAGGTACATGTTTCTTATAATATAGACCTCCCACTTGCTCCATAAATGTATGTGTGCATGCTTACAGGGACAATCACCCATTCTGTATATAGACTGCAGCCTTCTCTCAGTGAAAACTCAGGAAACAGAGGAAGCCACAGCTTGACATTTCAAATCAAGTCTTGTTAACTTCAGTTCTCTGTAATCAAAACATAAATACTATGCACTGACCACACACAAGTCAATGTGACAAAAGATCTGCAAAAGCAACAGTAGTAACTTGTGGTTTCTTGGAGCTGGTTCTTTCATAGTCCAACCTTACTCATAAGGTGCCTCTACAGTCACTATACTGGGAATATGTCTCTTTCATTTTTGGCTAGGTCCCAACATCTGAAAGGTGCAGTTGTTGGGGATAGACAACTATACCATAGTTGGCGTAGTTGGTTCTTTTTTTTCCTCCAATGTCTTAAGGGATTGTTTTAGCTCTTACTTGATTGTTTACCTCCACATCCCTCTATTCCACCAAAGAACCCTATTACCACTGATGCATGACCACCGACAAACAGGTCAGACTTGTGGGCTAAGATGTAAGTCCTAGACTATTAATGCCGGAGGGAAGTCCCTTCTATGGGACAGCATCAGAAATTTCTCCTTCCCCCTGAGCTACACAGATTGCAAATGAGTTTAGAAGCAGCATAATTTGGGGAATACTAGATAAAACAGTGTAATATTGCATTTGTGAAATCTAAGAGATTAATAGATAACATGGAGACTGAGCTGAATCCCTTTCCACTTCAAACACAGAAATGCTAAACAAAATATAATGACTTAAAATACATATCTGTGTGTATTTGTATGTATGTATATACATATGTGCATATATATATAAACACAGGTACACATACATACATACATATGTGTGTGTATATATATACCTACATACACACACACACACACACACACACACATATATATATATATACATACACACAAACACATACAAATATATAGCCAAGCTCAAAAGAAAGAGAAAAAGTCAATATGAAAATATAATGGATATAGAGTTTCTAGAATGAAAGACATGAGTCCTCTTGAAAAGATACACCAATATTTCAGAAAGATGAATAAAAGCAAATGCATATTTTGATACATCACAATGAAACCATAGAACACCAGAGACAAAAAGAAAGTCTTCAGGTCAACCAGAGAGAGGGAAAAAAAGAGACTTCTGGCAAAAGAACATGTCATCAGCAAAAATTAAAGCAAAACAACAGTCCCAGATTACATGACTTACACATGTAATCCCAGCACCTTGGGAGGCTGAGGCAGGCAGACCACCTGAGGTCAGGAGTTCGAGACCAGCCTGGCCAACATGGCAAAACCCTGTCTCTATTACTAATAATACAAAAATTAGCCAGACATGGTGGCACACATCTGCAATCCCAGCTACTCAGGAGGCTGACGCAGGAGAATTCTCTGTCTATGTAGCCAAAGAGACCCTTGCACACATAATCACAGAGATCTGTAGAATGTTTACAGCAGTTTTGCCAAAATAGCAAAAAATACAGAAAACAACCCAAACATCCATCAGCAACACGATAAACACAGTTTTTACATATTCTTACAATCGAATATTATATAACTTCGTGAAATCATTGAAACAGTTATCCATGTCAACACAGATACCTCTCAAAATATGATGTAAAACAAAAGAAACAAGTCATAGAAAGGTATACATATAATTCTATTTGCACAGCATTTAAAAAGGCAAAATTAAATACTGCATTGTTTTAGAATATAAAGTGTGTTACAAAACAAAATAAAGAAAGGGAAGACATTTATACAGAATTCAGGCTATCTTTATCTTGAGAGTGGAAGAGGAGATGTAATCTGTGAGAGGGAGGGGATTCTGGAATATGGTAATGCTCTGTTTTTTGGTCTAGAAAGAGGTATCTAAATTCTAAATGATCAGTCTACTATTTCTCTTTTTTTTTTTTTTTTTTTTTTTTTTTGAGACAGAGTCTTGCTCTGTCACCCAGCATAGAGTGCAGTGGCATGATCTGAGCTCACTGCAATCTCTGCCTCCCAGGTTCAAATGATTCCCCTGCCTCAGCATCCCAAGTAGCTAGGACTACAGGCGTGTACCACCACACCCGGCTTATTCTTTTGTTTTTTAATAGAGATGGGGTTTCAACATGTTCGCCAGGATGGTCTGGATCTCCTGACCTCGGGATCTGCCCTCCTCAGCCTCCCAAAGTGCTGGGATTATAGGCATGAGCCACCACGCCTGGCCTATTATTTTCTTTACACTGTATATGTATGCTTGCACAAATTATCTTGCATATATGTGCTATTTCACAATTTTAAAACATATAAGAGTAATCACCAAAAGAATAGAAATTTCCAAATCAATAAAAGAAACAACATGGATTAAAGAAAACACAATCGATTCTCCATGCAACACTGAAATGGAAGGGAGAAAGAACAAAAAACAAAACACACAAAAACACGCTGAATAGAAAATACAAAAGAAAATATTTTAACAGTGCAAATGTGTCAGGAATCAGGGTAAATACATGTTAAAATTTTATCAAAACAGATGTTTTCAAATCTTGCTATGTGTTGTTTATAAGAAACAAATTTCAACATAAGTTTTGAAGAAAAAAAGTGTGGATAAGTACACACCAAGGAAATAGGAACCAAAAGAAAGCTGATGGAAACAAGTTATTGTTAGGCAAGACTGAAGTTAGCAATAATACGAGAAAAAGTATTTATATAAGTTATTTATTGCCATATAACAAATTATCTGGAAGTTAGATACGTAAATATAAAAGTAATAATTTATTATCTCTCATGGTTTCTACGGATCAGGAATTCTGGCAGGGTTCAGCAGGATGGCTTTTCTGTATACTACAAAACCTGAGGCTTCAGCTAGGAGACTTGAAAGGGGCTAGAATCATCTGAAGGCTCACGACCTCATATATCTGCCAGTTGTTGCTCTGGTTTAGCTGAGACCACAGCTAGGATTACCAGCTGCAATACGTCCATGTGGCCTCTCCATGTGACTTGAGTCTCCTCATAACATGGCGGCTGGGTTCCAAAAACTAGTTCTGAGAGAGAGCCAAACAGAAGCTGTATTTTTTATGACCTAGGCTCAGAAATCACGTAACAGCATTTACACTGTACTCCACTGGTCAGGGCAGTCATAAACCCCCACCCAGACTAAAAGAAAGAGAATAACAGCCCTGTCCCTGTCAATTAGGGAGTGTCAGTTACACTGTAAGAAAAGCACAGGACTGGATAAATGTGCTGGTGTCACCACCTTTGGAAAATGCAATCTGCCACAACATTCTTTACAAGCACACATGAAACATAAGCAAAAACTCCACATATATTAGGCCTGTAATAGTAATAGTCTCAGTGAATATCAAACAACAGATATCAAAGGTTTCTTATTGTAATACATGAAAGTTGGAAAACAATCATTAAATAAGATTTTTTAAATATGTTTGAAAAATATAATTTTATGACAGTTTCCCTTTCTGAGTTGGTATTAGACCTTAACTAAATCCCACTGGATGAAGATCCACATCTGGAGTCAAAAAGAGATCACTAGTTTGATTGTTGATATGTTGAATTCAAAGTCGCTTAGAGACATGTAAAGGTAAGGAGTTGGATAGATGGGTCTGTAGCTAAGAGGGGAAGCCTGAGAGTGGTAAGTTATCTGTAAGTAGGAAGTAACTGCAGTTGTGGATATGGATGTGACTGTCCAGGGAGTCAGTAAGTAGAAAGAAAAGGGCCTAGGACTGATCCCTGAGCAAGTTCAACATCTAACAGTTACGTTGATGAGGATAAATCCTACATAAGAGACAGAACAGTTGCCAGAGAAGTAAAACAAAATACTCAAGTTTCCCAGAAAGGTCAAGTGATATAAATACTAAAAGAAAAAATACAGTAATGAAGGTCATCAAGGAACTCAGTAGGAATTGTTTTGTGGACTGATGGAGACAATTCAGTCTGGAGTTGGTTAAGGCAGAAGCGGAAGTCATTAAACAAAGACAATGAGTAAAGACAATCCTGGATACATTTGGCTGTGAATGGGGAGGAAAGAGCTGCAACTAAAGGACAAAGGGCTGGAAGAGGGTTTGTTTGTATAGTTTTTAAACAGAAAAAACGCTGAGCATGTATCAAGGTGATAAGAAGATCCATTCAAGATGCCGAGTGACTGTAGAAGAGAAAGGATAATCAGTACTGAAGGTTCCTAAGAAGGTGGAAAGGGACAGGTGGTAGGACTGGTTTTAAACAGAGTTTTGGTCTCACCATAATCATATAGTATCTAGTGATAGGAACCCATACTATTGTCTTAACTTACTACTTTCTCATGTGTTTATGTTTTCTCACCCTAATTAGAACCTAAGCTCTTTAAAACTTAGGACATTTATTGTTCAAACCAACCCCACCTTACCCACGCACTGGAAGCCCCAGATTCTATCCCAGCACCCAACAGTCATTCAGTAAACACAGTCATGTGTCACTTAGTAATGGGAGGATAGTCTGAGAAATGCACCCACAGGCAATT